TTTAATGGAAAAATGTAACGTGCATTCCCAATAGAAACTACATGAAAACTTTTTTCTGTGTACTAATTTCATATGTACATCGAGATGTTGTTCATATTAGAAAACACATTCCTGTAAAATTTCGTAAAGTTTTACTCAGTCTATGAGTTAACTACGTTTTCAAGAATTTAAACATTGTTGGCAAAATCATCAATCAAATAATATTTTCCCGCTCTTATACACTCTCAATATCACGTGTGATAATTCAAGAGCAACATGTGAAAAGGGCATACAAGCTTTTTGTAAACAAACCTTCTTATGCCCTTTTTTTCGCGACCCATGTGACACTAACGCAAACCATCAACATCACCCGGTAGGCGAAACTTTCCCGTTCCCGATGATGTTGTTAGTTTACGTGGGCGACCCTCGGTTGGCGAGAAAAGGGTTTACAAAGATTTGTTTACAAAAAGCTTGTATGCCCTTTTCACATGTGGCTCTTGAATTGATCAAAATATCATGCTTGATATTGATTTTACAAGCTCCTTCGATATTGCGAGACTATTCACAGCATGCAAAAATCAAACTGAGAGTTGACTCTACACAAAAATTATTCCGTTGCAGATCGGTTTCTTAGAAAGAGAAAGCGTAGTTTGCTATCTTTTTTAAATCTTCACCGATGGCAGACACGAAGGGACTGCTGCAAGCCGTTATGGAAGTTTCGGTTGCATTCGAGTGTAAAGCAAAAACCATCAAACTCAATCTCACCACAGTTTGCAAATCAACCGCAAATGTTTGTTTGTTGATTTTTGTCTACAAAAATCAAGCGTTATTTTGGGCATTTTTGAGATTTGATTTTTTGATATTTTTCCAACACTGAATATGAGCGAACTAATCTCAACTTGGAGTCGGCCTAATTTGTCGTGTAATCGTAATTTATCTTTTTTAGAGTTGCTTTTAACGTATACGGCGTAAATGGATGCATTCTAAACTCCAATTAGGTTCAATTCGTTAAAAGCAGGTCTTTTTGCTCGAACAGGACTTTCACCAGGTAGCACCCCCCCTCCCCCCATTATTAACAAAAGCAATCAGGACCCTTTGAAATGTTGACACTGAATTTACAGCAAGCTTAAGTATAATTTTTCAACTTGATTCGCTAACATTTTTTTTTTTGTGCAAAACATTTTTTAGTCTAAACAATCATGAAATCATAAAAATATCGTTTACATTCTATGATTTTATTGGAAAATATCAAATTTTCAACACCATTTTGAAAAATTAGTGGCGAGTCAAAATGGTCGGATTTGAGTTCAAATTTGATTACGCATACCAGTGGTGGCTACAGTGTGACCCGTGGGTCGCACAAGGTGCTTGAATCTCTATGATGCAACAACCTCAGTTCAATTCTTATTAAGTTAAGATCCTCTTAACCGTTCAGAGTATGGAGCTTGCACGGTACCCTCGTCGCAATCTTTTTGCAGGAAATCTTCTAAATCATCATCAGACTTCTTTCTGTCTACCTACTAAGCACATATCACGACAGCAACATAAAACATTACGGGGAAATTTTAGAAGAAAAAAAAATCAAAGTCTACAATTTTGATTTTATTTTTATTTTTGTCAAATCCGGTATTTATGAAGATTAAAAAAAATCCGGTATTTATGAAAAATTAAAAAAAAAATCCGGCATCATGATTTTTTATTTCGCAGTCTAGGATTTTGAATTCGTTAAAACCAGCTCTAGATTCCAAATAATACTGGGATAAAAAAAATTAGTTAAACATCTTTAATTACTGAGCCTTGTTTTTATAGGTAAAAAAGCTAAAAATTAATTCTAAATCTGGGTTCTCGACAGATTTTAAAACTTCCAAGATTTTGGAAATCATTATTTAAAAACTCGAAAGTCGTAAATAATTTTTCTCAAGACTAAAGTTTTTTTTCAAGTTCAGTCGTTCACTTCTCCACATTCGGTCCAATCGATAAAATGGCTCTTGAAGAAAACATTGTGTCACGAACTTTGCCAGAATCCAAGAGACAGGTTCAGTAGCGCTGCGCTTGAGCAAAAGCGGAAGTGGATGCAACGCATAGAGAAATCTAAGAGGAAAGGGAGAAAACTGGCTTATTTTTGTCTGTGACTTGTTCTTCTTCACTCTCGGAAACGACCGTGCAAAAACTATTTCATTATGGGCAGTCGACTGTCAAAATACAAGAAAATAGATTCCCTGTTGTAGAAATTTGCGCGTTTCTATACGTTCACCCGACCAATCAGACGCTGGTTCGCCTTTGACAGAATACTGTTTTTTTTTCATGCTTTATTAAAGAGATTTTTAGCCTTAGGCTAGTTCATCTCTACAGAAAATTGGTTAAAAAAGGCCCCCTATTGTCTCTTCTTTCTCTTAGAGAGAAATGAGCAAATACGCAAATTTCTCTTGAGGTTGGAATCTTTGCTATAAAATCCGTACCGATGCAGTAACCTTTGATCATTAGATGACGTGATAGTGCCTGCCTCATAGCGGTTGTATAAGAAAACGGGAGAGCCGCCAGTCTTCTTGATATGTTATCTTCGCTTTAGGCATAGTGGCCAGGCCCAAAACGGGTACCTCATTTGGCATAATGCCGTTTGAAATAATACCATCTGGCATAACTTCCATTCAGAATAATGGATGTATGGAGCGTGCAAAATATATGAAACAACTGTCCATGCCCAAAAGAAGGGAAAATACCCATTACCTACATGATAATCTTCCCTGTTTTTGATCAAGAGCTACCTTTCATATTCCGTTGAAGTTCAAAAAGGAAGTTGAAAAAAAGAAGGTAAAAGAACTATTTGTCGGTATAGGTACATTGCGTTTTTCCACGGTTATGCGAAGCGGTATTATGCCACATGGGGTACATACTCCCCTCATACCATTAGCCATTGTACGAAATAGAATAGAGCTCTCTAATTGAGAATTAGTGTAGAATTGAAAGTATTTAAAAATAGTCACAAAAGCAACACAACAACAAAGAGACAAAACAAAAATGGCGGCATTCATCTGCGTAAAATAAGCTTTTTTTTCTGGAAAAGTTGAATATTCGGGGAAGTGAATTGTTCGAGGTAATGGGGTATTCGGGGTAACGGCACTCGGAGTATTGTCATAGAGTCACTATCAAGATAGAATCGTAATGTTGAATCGGCGGGATTTTGGAACAGAACTTAATCCCTACGTCAAAGTTAAGAAAAACGCACATAAATGATACGCTACACACTAAGCAAATTGAATAATAAATAATGCAATTTAAACACTATTATCGCATGAAGTTAAATAGATTTTACTAATCTACCATCGTGTTACATTGCTATCAAGATTTAAAATTATCCGGATAAAACTTCTTCTAGGTAAGAGCGCCAATAATACCAACTAAATCCATAATTTGCCCAGTGCTAGAATCTACATGCTGTCAATTAATATATCTTACACAACAGTTTGTGAATTTAGCAAAAAAAAATCAATGGGCAAAATATGAACGACAGGAACGAATTATTGGTGTTGTTGCAATATTTTGAAATCATACAAGCAGCGTTCCGACAAAATTCTTAAACTCAAATCTCATTCTTGAGATTATTCGCGTATGATGTCGTTTTCGTTTTTGCGGTGTAGCTACACCGGTGCTACACTGCCGTACACCGAAATAATTTAGGGTGTAGATATAGGATGCACTTTTGTTTACAAACAAATTATGTTGAGCTGTTAAAGACTCGCGCTCATTCCTGCTTACACTACACCGGTGCTACACCGCAAAAACGAAAACGACATGAGTTTTGCCTTAAGAAATTCAATTGCGCACTAATCACTGATGTTCATTGTTATCAGGGTTACTTTCTATCATTTTACAAAAATGGGATCATGGAGTCATAATATATTATGATGATAGGGGAAATGGATGTAATGTCCATGCAATCGACTTAATTTTCAATAGCGACCAAAAATATTCATTAGTACCGTCCCAATGCCGCGTTCATCTACATATAATTGATAAATAGCAAATTTTTAGCGATGGGCCCAATCTTAGATTCATAGGCCAACATTAGAGCCATTTCCAAAAGGTTGCAAAGTTTGTGTTTGTGACACATAATTTTGTTTGCCAATTTCCCTTTATGAGAGTTGTAGTAATAAGCGATTTTATCTTATTCTCTCAACCATTCTTCATTCTTCGCGATCGCTGTTTATGACTCATTGAAAGCAAAATTGGCAGGTCTTACGGTAACTTACAAATACAAATTATCATTATAACATCTTATGATTCCATAATACCATGAAACAGTATTTTCTGCAAAATTAATGGAAGTAGCCCTGATTGTTAATACTCTTGTTTTTTGCATTATTCAATGAAAAATTAACAAAACATGCTTGAACATTAGGGTGGGTCAACATAAACAAACATAAACATAAACAAACGAATTTGGCTACGATTAACATTTGCCGGAGAGCTTTAAAGTTTGTATGGGAAACGGAACGCAACTATTCATCGTTTGTATTATTCTCAGGTTTGAGCAATTTTAAGAAATTTATGAATTTTTAACAGGCAAAAACCTTACATTCCGTTTCCCATACATTTTCCCAAACATTCTTAAAAGTTCCCCCGTACATCTAGATCATAACCAAATTCATTCAAATTTGGCACAGTTGTTAGGGAACTCAATACACATCGAAAGACCAGTGGGGAGCTGGGAATCGTAGAGTTGACTCACCCTAACGAGCATGCCATAAATTGACGGTTTTTATGAGTTTAAGGCTATGGAATGAATGCGAATTGTTGCCGTTGTGAATGCGTGAGAATGTTTTGCCGATTCGCACACGAGTTTATTCTTTGCATGGGGGGGGGGGGGGGCTCAATGAATAACATTTGAGAATGACATTCCGAACACTGCGTACCAGAGAACCGAAAATTACACAAAATGCCCAGACACCATGGACGAAACTATCCGGATAAGAATAAAACCCGATCGCCCGACCATCTTAAAACCAAGAATAAACTCTTACCTACTATGTTGCAAACTTGCTTTGGTATACCTTTTGTTGACGATAGACTGTGTCTCGGCAGCGGTCGTGTTGCCACTGCCCGGCACGACAACGCCAGAATCCTTGTTCGAGGCGACACTGGCGGACTCGGGAGACATGGGCAGTCCGGTGCTAGTGGTGCTTGGTTCGGACTTGTTGGTTGCAGTTTCCCGGCATGTTGTGTAACAGCGGTCGCACAACCCGTTACGGAAGGGAACGGCCGAGCACCCACTGGTAGTAATGGTGATCAGATTGTGGCCAACAAGCCAAGTGTTCGACTGACCACCCCGGAGAAGAAACTCGGAGGCAGGATTCCGTTTCGCCAAGCCCGAACAAGGCGAAAATGTATGATTTGCCATAAAATCAATGCAAGTCTCTGCCAGTTCTGAGTGAAAATTGTACAGGTCACTGTTGAAATTTTGTTTGGTAGCTTGTTGCTGGGACTTTTGATTTTGCTGTTGGATGGAGGCTCGATCCCTTCGCTTAGATCCCTGTTCAGTGAGGCTCGAGCTACGCTTGCGATTTGATGAATCTTCATTAGCCTGGGAATAGTCTGTGCGCTGTTTGGACCCGTCTTGAAAAGGTGTGTGTACATACGACTCTAGTCCCTTGACTATATAGTAAACCAGATTTTTGCGCATTGGAAGACGGCATTTTAGGAACCAACCAGCAATGACGTGGTGAGCTAAAGAGACGGTGTAATGATCGTAACGATATGGATTCGTATACGGGAACGACATGGCCAGCACATACATATATTCCACAACCCGGAAATTGGCAATGCGATCATTAGGTAAGTGGCTAAGAGTAGAGAGAAATTCTAGCACCGGAACGGCAACCGTAGTCGTGTTGGCCATTTTGCTAAGCTCAAAGAGCAAATCGGTGAGCTTTGACACCAACGGATCCGGCATTTCCAACAGCAAAACAGTAAGAGTTTGAATGCACACCTGAGGCCTTCTTGAAATTAGTCCCTGCTTCAGGGCGTCGATAATGTGTTTCTTAGTAATCGCCTCCAAATGCTGATGATATGTGGCCAAACTTGCAAGTGCTGGCAAAACTAAATCATGGATATCGGATAGAGTCGGTTTAGACTGATAGCACATAAGCTTTTCCACCAGCATTCTGTCGTTGTACATTCTGAACAGTGTCTTTGCCAGCGAATCAATGTCATTGCCCTGAATTAGTGCTTTATTTTCCATTATATTTGGCAGTTCGGACAGTACAAGCTGAACTACATGCCAATCTTTTTCCTCCTTCAGGCAATCGACAATGATTTGACAACCACGTTTGATTGAAATCGTGGTTAGACTCGTTGAAGGCATGACGTCAACTGTTTTCATGTTTTCCTGTTGTGCTAGGTTCAGTTGACTTGACGATTGGGCTTGTTGTGATAAGCCCACCTGTTGTTGTGGTTGCATGCTTTGGTGCTGATAAGGGCCTTCGATGCCAAGATAGTGACTGAATCGCACTCTGTTGTCATTCTCCGGATCGGGGTATCCAATGTGGAACGATGCGTTAGCACGGGCTTTTAACATCCAGCTGAAAATCTTGTATCGAACAACGTTAACATGCTGGAATACCATGGGTTTCTCATAATGAGCTTCCAATAGCAGCATAAGCAAATGGTACACCTTGATTGCATGTGTCGAGGGAACCCGATACAACTTGACCGTGAAAACGCGGATCAATCCATCCACCAGAATGATAATGTCTTCTACCTCTTTGACAGAGTGTACCACTATCCTGTCCTGTGCGTAGCAATCATAAGGGCGATGAAGCATTTTACCCACAATTTCCAACAGCTCAAAGCAACGTTTAGTATCGCAGTGGAGAACAAATTCGATCAATGCACCTGCCACTGCCTTTCTCACTTCTGCATCGGTTTCGTGGACTATTCCACCCAAGTGGACAATCACTATGCGTTCTAGAATTTCTTCTTCGTAAATAGCCCGGTTGACTGCCATTATACGAACCAACGCTTGAACGGCGTAAATTCTGATCATAGTGTTCTTCATCTTGTAGAACCGATCCATGAACGAACAAAGTTCCAGCAGCCACTGCGGCCGGGTTGCTGAAATTTTTGTGGTCATGTACTCAATCAATCCTCTCACCGAAGCCTCCGGACGTTCGATGGAGACTTTCTCAATCAGTCCATATATCTTCTCCGGATCGGCATTGATTTCACCCTTTTGCAGCAACTCTTCGATTAGATCGAGTGTTTCGTGGAAATGCTTTACGACGTGATTTTCGTTGGGCAGTTTGTATTTCGCCAAATTGGACGATATTTCGTTCATGATGTCGCAAACGATGTCCCACGTTGGCTCATTGAGCTCGGTGCCACTTTTTTGAATCAACCGGTGGATGCTGAGGATGACTTCATAAGTGACGACCACATGTTCACTTTTGAGAGCCTGAAACAAATGGACATTGCAGAAGATTATTAGGTATCTCTTAACGACATATGATGACTTTGGATACAGCAATATAAGAGAACAAGGGGCAAGAAGATCACCCTAACGATAGTGCGTTGATATATTTGATTCCGTGAATATTTAAAGGAGTATGTGCACCAAATTGTTAGTTTTTAACATTGTCTTCTTGTATCATCAATGGAATTAAAATTTAACCACATCCAAAAATGTTTATGATTTTTTCATGTCTGTCATATCTGCCTTCAAAAAATGCGGGGAAAATGTGCCACTCTTATGGGGCAAAAAGGCCATACGTCTAAAATGGAGTGAAACAGATTAATGTTTATTAAAAACCAACAATTTAGTATTCTTAAGCATGTCAGCCAACAGCTTTTATTGATGGTTCTATTAAAATTTTCAAGTCAGGCATGGAAAATCATTTGCATTACATTCATTTGCCTCTAACTTTTTTATCAACAGAATTCCGCAAAATGATGTATGAAGTTTTTGTAGGTTTTATTATTAGATACAATTTTTGTTAACATTTTAAATCCGTATCTCTTATGCATGACGAACCAGAGCAAACAGAAGCCACTACTGTTTTTCAGTGAATGTATTTTACATTCACTGAAAAACAGTAACAAGTTCTGTCCGCTCTAATTCGTGATGCATAAGAGGTAAAGATTTGAGCTATGGGCAAAAGTTGTAGCTAATAACAAAACCTACTAAAGCTCAATACATCATTTTGCGGAATGCTGTTGATGAAAAAAGTTAGAGGCAAATGAATGTAAATAATTTTCCATGCCTGTTTCAAGTTAACGATATTTTTTATACAAAACCTACACGGTAACAAAAAAATTCTCAAAATTAAGTTTAAAAAACTCAACGTTGGGTTCTATCATTTGAGGTCCACCGTTGAGTGTATCAGAAAAGCGGCGTTGGTTAAAATTTACTCAACTATTGAGTAATAATAAATGAACTCAAATATAAGTTTATTTTCATTGAGGTTGCTTTTATGCGCCTTTAACCATTTCATTTTCACAAGCGTTGATAGACAAGGGGGGCCCCGTAATCTCAACGTCCATGGTTCGGTTCCAGTCTGCTCCGTTTTATTATTTTTTTGTTAACTTGGTCAACGCCAGGATTACTCAAAATTGAGTTTTCTTCTTTAACTTAATTTTACCTAGCCCCACGGAAGCCACGTGATGAGTGAAAGGAACTCAATTTTGGGTACTTTTTTCTTACTGTTATACACCAAATAATGTAAATGGAAATTATTTTTGATACTATTTTGTACAGGTTGTTTTGCAAAATTTCACGAAAACAATGCATATCGGAACCACAAATGACCAAAATTGTGCTCTCTTGTTAATTTTTAGAAATATAATGTTTGATCAATTAAAGAAAATATTTAATAACTTATTGTTATAAACCCTTTTCTTCCCAGAAGGTTTTTCGTTGTTTTGAAATGCAAAAAAGTGCTAGTGCATTGTTGCGGTACGTTAGAAGCGTTAGGTTCCTATTGATGTATTGTTGTTGGACTGGTAGCGATCAATGCTGTCAAAAATAGTGATTTTAGTGATCATGTTGAAGAATTAAGTGACCAAATAATGGCTAATAGGATAGCCGTTAAATTCCAGGAGTTTCTGTCTAGGGCCAAGGTAGCAGAGGAGTGCGAATCGGATAAGAAGCGGAAGCTGCATGATAGGTAGCTAAACAGACTACGACAGGAGTCGCCGAGGGTTCACTCCATTGATGGGTTGGTTGTCAACCGATCGACGAGCGCATTCACGGAAGAACAATTGACACACCTCAACAAGGGGCTAGGATACGCGGTTACAACTAAGCCAGACGTGGAGCAGATCATCATTGACGTAGAAACAGCGATTACCAAGACACTTCCAACATCATCACAGAATACGATCAGGACTATCACGTCGAACATAATCAAGGACGGACAGGAACAAAGTCGCGCCAACGAAAAAGAAATTCGGATTGTAAAGGAGCTAAAAAGTAAAGCAGTATACTACGTGAAGGCAGACAAGGGAAACGCAGTCGTTATCATGGACAAGGACGATTACGACAATCAGATGACAACGAAGATTAACAACGGACCGTATAGACAGCTTCGAGTAGACCCCTGAAGAAGTGCAAATCGATATTAGGAGATGGAGCCGCTCGTTTACGGGAATCCAATCCCATCTTACCCAGGATCAAAGGTCTTCCCAAAATCCACAAACCGGGGAATGAAATGCGAGAGATCGTATCTGCAGTTGGTTCCCCCACCCACAAACTATCGAAGTGACTAGTCACAGAGTTCCAGAGTATGCCGAATCAGTTCCAGAGTAAAACAGTTAGTAACACTCAGGAGTTCACCCAGCAATTACAATCTTCAGGAGACATCAACGAGGACGAGATTATGGTATCTTTCGACGTCACAACAACTCGCTTTGATGGAAGCCGAGAACACCTCTGCACTTCCACGAGGAATCACTGGGATATTGGGTAATAGGGTAGGGTTTGCAGCAGGGTTCGTTTTGGTAAACGATAAGCTGAATTGGTGTCCTAACAATCATATAACGCGAAGGTGCTTGGGATTGAACCCACGGTCTTCTGCTCAGTAAGCAAAAACGTATGCCACTAGGCAGACGAGCTCCTTTTTAATCATCGAGTTGCTGGTATTACCATGTAGTCATGTTAACAAATAAAACGATTGACGAATCTTGAATGTGGATGGGCTTGAGATTAGACTGCTCAGTAAGCAAAACCGGTTGTTCTAAGGCCACCGAGCCCCTCATATCACATTATAGCGTTACTCAAGTTTTTATAACTATTCAAACCCGGCACCGACGACAACGAAAAGTTTTACAAAATACACGATAAACAAGCGATCTTACCATACATTTTTAATATGAAAAAACCTGGGACCGCATGCTACAAAAACACCCATCCAAATTTACTTTCATTTATATAAGGGGCTGTTCATTAACTACGTAGAACTTTCCGAGGTAACTGCTACAAGCAGGCGAAAGGAGCCCCAAAGGGAAACCCCATATCCCCCTTCTTGTGTGAACTTTTCATGGCCAACTTGGAGACAATCCTGCAGGAAAAAGGAATATTACCAAACCGTTGGTGGAGGTTTGTTGACGATATCTTCAGCTTAGTTAAACGGGAATCCCTTCCACAAATTTTAGATGAGATCAATAGAATTCACAAGGATATCAAATTCACTCACGAGGTAGAAAAAGACGGGAAACTCGCATTTCTCGATCTTCTAGTCATCAGGGAATCGTCATCATCTTCTTCGCTTGAATACGAAATTTACAGGAAACCAACAAGCACCAAAAGAGTAATCCCCTATACTTCCAACCATTCGTTTCAGCAGAAAATGGCCGCCTTGCACCACATGATTCATCGGATGCAGACTCTTCTACTCAGCGATACAGGAAAGGTTAAGGAATTACAGTACATCTTTGAAAAAGCAAGCCTCAACGGATACAAGGAGACCACAATCCAGGCAATCATCGGTAAAAAAGCGAGAATTCTACAAATGAGATTATTTACAACCCTTGCAACGAGTGCACAATGGTCCCAAAGCCGTATTTAGGAAGACAAAAATGTTTGCGTTAAACCCGTTGATTTTAGGCATATGTTGTCTTACGAAAAGTTTCTTCATATTTTTTGGCCAATTTTTTTATGTTAGTGAAATTAGGGTGGTCCATAAGATTGGTGAATTGAAAATGTGAACTTTTTTATTATGTTAGATACACCAGTGCAATCTTCTAGAAAGTTGCAGAACAATCAATTTGCGGCACCTTTGCTGAAGCCACCAAACTTCCATCTCCTATGGTTCATGAGTTATGATTTTTTTAAACAAGCAAGTTAGGGTGGCCCCTGAACAATTGGTTTCCTATGAATATCTTTTCATACGTTCATTTCTCGTAGAACAAATGTTCTAAACACTTTTAGAACTTTCAATGGCAAATATTTTTGCTGAAGCAATCAAGTTGCTATCTTTTTCAATTGGAAAGGCGATTTTCTTCAAAAAACTGGCATTTTTCAATTGTCAATATCTCTAAAAGGAGCAAACCGATTTTCAAGTTTTTAATTCCATTTGAAAGATCATTATTTTGTTCATTAACACCATTTTGGAGTGTCCGTTCCATTTGATCAACATATTACTTGTAAGCTAAGACCACAGCTAAAACAATTCGGTTTAAATTTAGTTTTCACCAGTAGACATAACCAGTTGAAATCATTGTTAGGATCCACTAAAGACCCAGTTAATGTTTTAGTTAAAGCAGGTGTAAATAAAATAAGCTGTAATCATTGTAACAAAGTATACGTAGGAAAAACCAAGATAACTTTAGCAACTAGATTTGAAGAACATATAGCGTATATATAGGTTAATAAGGCCAAAAAGCAAGAGGAAAAGGCCTAACATATGATTTCAAATCAAAGGTTGCAGAACACATATTCACATAGGACCACCAATGCAATGTTTTTCTTCAGTCGAGTATTAGTACAAGACACTGAAGAAGTATGCACAATTATCTATCGGACAGGACGTTCCAGGTCTCTCTGAATGGCATCACATCGGATGCCTTTAACATCGGTGCAGGTGTGCCCCATTGAAGCATCCTTGGGCCCATCCTGTTTAATCTATTCACCTCCAATATTCTGACTCTCCCTGATGGTCGATCGTTGTCTCTGTTCGCAGACGACACATCCATCGATCATCGGAGCTCTGACTATCAAACTCCAGAGAGGCTTGGATGTCCTGTCTGAGTATTTCAACAGCTGGAAGATCCGTATCAACTTGGCGAAGACCCAGGTCATAATTTTTCCACACTCAAAATCTCCCAGACCTGTTCCGTCTGATAATAACAAAATCTGCCTAAACGGCACAGTGGTGGAATGGTCCAAAGAGGTAGTCTACTTCGGACTAACACTCGACAGCAAGCTGATTTTCAGGGAGCATGTTGACAAAACAAAAACAA